GCCATGACACTGCTGCTACTCACCTTTTCACCTTTTGTTTGGGCGTGAACCAACATTGCCACTGGATGCGCATCTTTTCGCTACTGCAACATCTATGACCGAATACGCTCGCCATTTTGTTGCTCGCACTGGTGACGCCCGTCCGCTTGCCCGCAACAGAGTTACGGGCTGCTTCTCAAGAAACGCAGAAGTACCATTACGACGAGCGACTTCGCAAAAAACAATACCTAGAGGGTTCCCTCATTCTTTTTTGGTTCTTAACGAGACGTCTCTGCCTCTCTGAGAAAATACTTTCGCATTTCGTGGGTGCATACCGCGTTCTTAAACAAGTAATACACGTCACGTATTAAATCGTCCAGGATAATACCACAACCTCGTCGCCTCTGTTAACTCGTGACGTCGTTTCCATGTATCAAGGCTTAAGCGCTACCACCCTCGTTGTGCTGCGGCGTCATAGACACACGGCCGCCAGAGGTGGTTGTGTGGCGTGGTTTTCACCAACACTCTAAGTGTATAGTGAGACAGGTCCATTAGGGCATCGAGAAGCGAGTTGAAGAAGTTGACACTCGGCCGTCAGCTGTACTGTGGCTTATGACTGACTTAATATTACTGCCACGTACAAAAATCTTAGTGAGAAGACATAGCTTGAATCTTTCCAGAATCACCAAGTTGCTCTAGTAATTGACAAGGCATGCTCAGGGTTACGCTGTACGCAAATAATTGAACAATTCGACTTTCTATAGCAACTAAGGTTATGATGACAGCTGATATCATGGGAGTATACTTCACAAGGTGGTAAGTTCACCAGTTAGCACTTGTATGACAACTGAATCGAGCTGTTTGACGAAATGTTTTTTGGAGTGATTATTCAATAAGGATACACTATGTCAATTTTTTTATTAGCCATCTTACAAGTCGATAACAGATATCCCGTCAGGAGTTGCGTGCGCGAGTCGACGTTAAGGCAAGTGGACTTGTCTTTCTCAAGGTTGGAACTCGAGCCTTAAAAAAGCAAGTCCACTCGTCAAAACATCAGCTGAAGCACATGATGCTTCACTAAGAAAGCACATGATGCTTCACTTCTTAGTCATGCATCGTTACCAACCCGCCCAACTCGCCGCACATGATGCTTCCCCACGGATTTTTTAGAGGTGAAGCTTCTTAGACCACGGGTAGTTCTCTCCTCCTCCGTAGTAGTAGCAGTAGTAATAGTAGTAGTAGTAGTATGTAGCCATGTACAGTTCATGAGTTGCTCAATAGATGGCGTTGTGAGTATATGTCCTTGGGAATAATATAACTAGATGACATTAGTGGATTTAAGAGCACACTCACGGGGTGAATGACGATGAGTAGGGCGAAGCATCCATGCATGCATCCGTCCATTCGTCCGTGTCCATCCGTTCACCCATTCGTACATGCTTCCATCTGTCCGTCTATATTTCCGTCTCTACGTGCTTCCACCTGTCCACCAGTTCGTCCATCTGTCTGCCTGTTCGTCCGTCCGTGCATCCGTGCTTCTCTCCATTCCACTTTCGGTCCTCCCGTCAGAAAGACGGATGCTTAGCCCCGCTGATCATCACTCATTCCGTTAATATGCCGCGATTTTCTAAACGCGAAGCATTTCTTAGCGAACTTCAGCGACCTTGAATCTATCTATCTATCTATCTATCTATCTATCTATCTATCTATCTATCTATCTATCTATCTATCTATCTATCTATCTATCTATCTATCTATCTATCTATCTATCTATCTATCTATCTATCTATCTATCTATCTACGACGTTTAGCTCTCCTGGCTGTTTCGATAATAGTATTGACAACACACTTGGTATGACATAACATGACTCTATGCAGAACCTATTTGAGTAGTGATAACATGAAAATCATGACATGTATGTCATGAATGTCATAATTTACATTTCAGGGTCCTGCACCTCTTGCGGTGGTTTCGTTCACATGACATGTTGCAAAACTGGTATCGTATGACATAATTGCATGGCGAACACAAGCGACAGACCCTAACATGAAACTCATGACATGCGTGTCATGTAGTCACATGACTGCATGCCATGCTCATGATGCGCTTGTGGCTGTTTCGCTAGCGTCGCATATATCAAATTTGGTATTACATTGCGGGAATTGATGACAAAGTTATGTTACTGGTGCAAACATGATAATCACGAGATGCGTGTCATGTAACAACATCACTACATGCCACGCTCATTATGCGCTGGCGGCTGTTTCGCTAGATTTACATGTACCCTACTCGGTATTACGTGACGTGAATGAATGACATAGGTAAATGACACATCTAAATATAATAATCACGACATGCATGTCACGTAACAGCATGACTACGTGCCACACTGATAATGTGCTCGCGGCTGTTTCACCAGCTTCACATATACCAAATTTTATTACATGACGCCAATGGATGATGAAGGTATGTGACTGGTGCAAACATGATAACCGTGAGATGCGTGTCATGTGAGAACATGTCTACATGCCACAGTCAAGGCTCCATTACATTTCACTGTGACGTGGTGCGCGTGCTTGCCGGCGTTCAGTTCGTCTCGTCACGCCGACGTTGCCACGCCAGGCGCCGGTCCCGCCATATACTCGCTGCAGGCGCACGCAGCGCTACGTTGCTTTGACGCATGCGCATTCCAGCCCGTCCGCCGTCCCTCCGTCTTTAAAAGATAAAGAGACGCAGTGTTGTCTGGGTAAATTATCGGCGTGAAATGCAGCACGTCGAATTTCGCGCCGGTTGCCTTCGGTCAGCGGCGATGAACGCTGGTCACGCTTGGCGTCAGGAATATAGTGTGTTTGGGTTTAGCTAACGTAGAGGCGCTGTGGCGCGCGTCAGCGCTACGTTGGAGTATATTTGGGCCCTGCATGATGCACTCCCGGCCGTTTAGCTAGCTCCAAATATGCCGAATTCGATGTTCGTTGACGTCATTGGACCACAAAATATATGACTGGTTCGAAAATGATAATGCTAACACGCGTGTATCGTAAGAACATGACAACATACAATGCTCATAGCGTGCTCACGGGCGTATCACTAGCTCCACATATTCCAAATTCGGTATCACTTGATGTATATAGTTTACTAATGGTAAACGGTACATCGAAACATGATAATCATGATACGGAAGTCATGTACAGCATGATTTACTCGTAACGTTGTGCTGATTTTAAAGTGACATATCAACATTTCTCATCGTGCTTCGCATATTATCGATTCTCACTGTATGTGGGATCTGCCAATTTTTTTTAAAATTGAGGCTTCCGTGTTCTTCTTCCTGTTTTTTTTCCGGAAATTCTACCTGTACATTGCAAGCTATAAAAAATCGGATAATGTTCGAGCTTGGCCATCAACAATTGAATGCAACACTTCAATCGATCTTCGTGCGCATCGCCTTGAACTATACTGAGAGGAAAGATATATTTGACCAAGTAACAATCGGTCGTTGAAAACATTCCAAGAATGCTTACAGCAAATTATGTTTCCAAGTTCCCACTATGGCCTAATTCTTGCAAACTTGCCCAGTGTCCCCTACGATTTCTTGTACACGCTTTGCAGAGCCATTAATTTTTATTACGATAGCAATTATATTGACCCGCTCAGCTGAATTTTTCCGCCGGCGTCAACTTCAGCGTAGGCGTCGCTATCATTCACCTTTATATATACGTATTTATATGTATAAAAACGTAAGAAAGAAAAATATTGTAGAAAATGCTTCGGCACGTGGAATCGCACGGGCGACCTCTTGCGTTAGCCACTGAGCCACGAAGGAGCACCTCTTTCAACGTTGACACGGCATGCTATTTATATCTACTACTTACCGCTAGTAATTGCCATATCAGGAGAACTATTGTGCTTTTGACATTACCAGAAAGATGGCACGTGTCGCCGAGATCGTCACGACGCGGTGGCGCGCACTCTCGTCTTTCACGCGTACTCTGCCCTGCGCAGAGAGAGAGGAGTGAACGCTCACGCGTGCTGCGCGCTTACCCAGTGGTGGGGAGAATCCTAAGCCCTGGGCTTCACCGGAACGATTTAGTTGTAGTTACCGGCCGCACAAAGGTCACTGAACACACTGCACGTCTCCATTTGCACAAAGGGCGCACTTTTACAGACACTGGGAAGTAACATTTGAGACGTTAAGGGCGTGCATGTTTACGTGTGAGTACGTTTAGTGCGTCATTTTGTGCATGAGACATGTAGGGCACGTTTTGATAAGATTGCCATTTTTTGCGTGACCATCTAATTGGTTGCTTCTGCACACTTCTGCACACATAGATTAGCAATATGTGTCCGCTAGTCTTTTGTGGCAGAAAAGTGTAGCAGTGAAAGTCGGTGCTCATATTTCATGAGTGTGGTGTGCACAAAAAATAAACTCTGAGAAACTGTGAAAGACCAGCCAAAATAAAACGTTGCTCTAGTGCCTGTTTCATTGATTTGATTGATATGGAGTTCAACGTCCCAAAACTACCACATGTTTATGAGGGACGCCGTAGTGGAGGGCTCTGAAAAGTTCAACCTCCTGGGTTTTTTTAACGTGCATTCAAATCTGAGCACGTCGGCCTACAGCATTTTCACCTTTATCGAAAATGCAGCCGCCACAGCCGGGAATCTAATCCCGCGACCAGAAGGTCAGCAGCTGATTATCTTAGCCACTAGACCACCACGGACTGGGCGTTGCCTGCTTTATTCAGGTACAGCAGTGACACTCACGTCTTCACTACGCGACCTGCGGAGACGTAGACGGATTTAATGGGCTTTACGTGGTGTTAGAAATGAGAGCCAGTTAAAAGACAGAAACTGAGAAGTACGGTGATCGCAGTTGATCACGTACAACATGTACTCTACTTGGCAGTGTGCTTGCGAAGCTTATAAGTGAAGAAAAGCAAGCTAGAAAAAGCGAGAGAGAAGTTAAGGAATGTCAACGGTCATATGCTAATTAGACTGGAGTAGCTAAGTCAACTTCAGTATAAAAGGCACTGAATGCTCCTGGCTGAATCACACTTTTCTGTCGCCTAACGTGAAGGGAAGGAACGCCCTGATCATGAGGACTCTGGTGAGACCTCCTTGTGTTTTAATTCGTAGATTTTAGCAATTCACTCGGCTAATAAGTGTGGCTTGAAAAGAGGTACTACTTGTAGTAACATCAGAAATCCAGGCACATTGTGACTTGATTTGCTATTTAAACCGTGAAAGCTTCAAGCAACCTGTGATTTGAATCACTTTATTTCGTACTGACTTATTTTATCCCCAATGAAGCTGTCAGCTCAGCTGGTTATGTGACTATAAAATAAACCGGAAACGTATGTTTACCCAACCTAGAATACTTCATGTCTAGAAATTTCGTCTATGTCAGAACCACTAGTAATTTCAGAAAGCTACATAAATGGGTTAATGATCCTTCCTGTTCTTGAATTCGCAGCACAGTCATTGAGAATAAACATCCCCTTCAGTAAGTAATCACTGGTGTTTACATTTAGAGGCTGAACTTGTCTAATAAGACCATGATAAGCGCGTATACATATCAAGTATCATGTCGGGAGCTCGAGCCCGAGCTGACTGGCCTATCTATTAACTCAGATATAGTACGTGCCCGCATCTCCGCCAGACGTATGTGATGCGGTCCGTGCAGATCGTGCATGAAAAATTGTATTCTATCGTAATTCAGCCCCGGCTGCTTTCTCGCAAGATACGTGTCCTGTATATGTGATGTTCCCTAGAACATTCAGTTATAGACGCCAGTGCAGTGGTTACACGGGAACCCCTGAAACGACATATACGGACAATTAGGCATCTGTAGAATTTGAACCGAGCTCGGGATTGAACTAAAATGAAGGAGGTTACACTCCGGAGTGTTTACTATGTTCACATATTTTCAGTTGCGATAAACGAAGCCTCACTTTACAGGGGCAGTTTAGGGCCCCAGCTTAATTGTGCAGCGCTGTGACTTCTATAGGTATGAGTTTAAATACAGACATTGCAAGTGACACATTGTGATATATTCGAAAATTACTGTGACGACGCAAGACAAAGTAAGTCAAGGCTACTATGCCAACGCAATGCCCTTTTACGCATAAGAATTATTTTGTAGGCTAGGTTAGAAAATAAGTATTAGCTATACTTTCATTTTCATAGTTTCGCAATTAGAGAAACAAGAGACAAACGAGGCAAAAAAAATTGTGACGAATGATAACTGTAAGAAGGTAATCAGTTTTCTTTTGTTTTTTTCCAGACATTTAGCTGTAAGCACTCAACTTCGGTTTAGTGACCCGATTACGCAATGGAAAGTTTGGCAAGGACCATTGTAACACTGAGCATACCTTAATAGACTAATATTGGTAGGCATTTTTTGCAAATTCGATAGCGTACAATGAAAGGACTCATGGGCTACCCATATGTTGTGTTTGGTGCAGACGTTACCCAGCATTAATTTTTTAGAAACACCGCTGAAACAAAGGCATTTCAAAAGCCGTACAAAAGTAAATCTAACGAAAAAGATAATCACTGTTGATTGAAGATGTCGGAGCGTAAACTCATAACGTTGTAGCAAGCTGGAAAGAGCCGGTGTGATCGATGTATGCGAGGCACTTGGCCTGAAAAATGTTAAGAGAAGCATATGAAACCGGCATGTCGAAGGCATGAGCAGAATTGATTTCATCGCATCTATATCATGACCTGCGCATTTGTTTCAATTCAATTAAATATCGCAAGAGGTTGTGTAACGCAAAGAGGATAGATTTATTACGTGTAAAATCTCAACAACTTATGATAACTGTACCTCGTCCACCTGCCTGTACCTCGTAAGTGTGCGTTTTCTTGCATCTAAGAAACGCTCCCTTTCATTGGTTTTTCCACAAATCTGATTCAAAATTAGTATTATTTTTGCTTCACACGGCTTTTTTGACCTGCGAACTGTTTTTTACCACTCCTAAAAATGAATGCACTGAACTCATTTACTTCGCAGGTGGTCGTTGCTTCTGTCCTCTGCGTCACCGTCTCCACCGTCTTCGCTGGTGGTTTGGGCGGTGGACTCGGTGGCGGCATTGGCCTTGGCCACGGTGGAGGTATCGGATACGGCGGTGGTCTCGGATACGGCGGAGGGCTTGGTGGTGTCGGAATAGGACACGGAGGAATCGGAGGCCTTGGTGGTGGTGTCGGTATCGGACACGGAGGCCTCGGCGGTCTCGGAGGTGGATTGGGTGGCGGCTACGGTGGTGGCTATGGTGGCGCCTACGGTGGCTCTTACGCTGGTTCCTACGCTGGAACCTACGGCGGAGTCCACGGTGGCAAATTCGGTGGACATGGCCTTTTGGGTTGAGTGTACGTATATTCAATTTTCTTAAAAATGTTGAGTTCTATAAGTTTTTTCAGAAAATGGAGAAGTTGAGGCAGACAATTTTTAGAGCACACACTCTAGGCAATAGTTTTGCAGGATTTGCACATTTTGTGCGGGTAAAATTACTTAGAAAACGCAAAGAACTGTTCGCCCTCACTTCAAAGTGGTAGAAAGCACTTGATCCTAGCAATGGATTTTGAATTGATACCGTCAATTATTATTCAAAGAGATCAATTTGCTAGAATTTTAGTTATTCTACTGAGGAGGAAGCTACTGAGGAGGAAGCTACTGAGGAGGCCCCTACTTTCACTAATGAAATCTAGAGTTAACAAAAAACGCACTCGTCTCGCTGGAAATAATCACGGTATAAATGTAAAAATAAGGCGCCGATAAAAAACATAAAAACAATAAAGACGTTTTGACTCCCGTATGGGGTCTCGTTCACAAATGAAGTAATGAAATGGGGGGGGGGGGAGGTTGACTATGTACGCGGAAATATGTGGCGCAAGCAGCGTGCGTACACAGGAGGAAGTGTGGCATCGTTGTGATATAGCGTGGCACCAGTCGTTCGTATTAGTAATAATTCAAGATGAAGTCACGCGCGAGGTTAGATATCTTTCAGTGCGAGGCAGCGTATTGTTGGGTGGTTTCCACGGTTTCTGGCAAAGAAATTGTTTTTCATTACTCTTTGAACACAGTGAATAAGTTACTCAAACTTATTATTAAAGGGTAGAACAAAATAAATTGAAAGTAAGTTGCCCATTTATTTTAGCTTATAAAGTCTAGCTCTTCAGTCGCAATAGAGCACTATTGGTTTTTCAAAGGGGTAAAGGAGTTACGCAATAGTTGTTGGTCTCCGTTATTGAGCCTATTATTTGGGTAAAAGGACACCTAACCTTTCTCTACTACTTCCGGTGGTACAGGCAGCCTCGGCTCATTTGTAAGTGTAACAGTTGTATACAAGCGGAGGTAACAATGGAAGGTTACGTCGCACATCTGCATTCTGTTGGAAAGGCCTGGCTTATTTGGTCCAGAATAATCCAAGAGCCATCTTTGCATTTATGCACTATAACACTCATGTACCCACTATAGCAAAACGACACTTCCTGCATGTTTCCCTTATAGTGTGAGAGGTGCGTAAGACAGGTGAAAGTTGTGCAAACATCAATGCGCGACTGTACACAGGACGGGAGCAGTAGGATCCATGTGGTTGTGCGCTTCGTTCTTAGATCTTCACATGGCAATGCATGACCACCTTGCTCAAACCCAAGTTTCGTTACTTGTGAAAGTTCGTGCAGTTCTAAATATTTCCTATTTTTATGTTCGCTCGATCATTTGATAAGCGAAGAGCTGCTTATTGTAACATTAGAAGGTGGTAATGGTCTGCGGCAACCCTTGCAACAGTCGTTTCAATTCAAGATTGAGTAGAAAAATTCTGCCTTCTGCGAAAGCCAGCCGACAGGTTGTGGGAGCTTGTGAGACTTCGAGCCTTTGAGACGCAAAGCGAGACACTCATGCCGCAGGAAGTTACGTCTAATCGTGCACGCCCAATCCTAGTATGACATACAAGTCTAACCAGAACACACATACCACCGTAGACAGTCAACACCGTAGACAGTCAACATGCCGTGAACAAGGGTACACGAGTTAAAAGTTAATTTTAACCTCTCTTCTCTCATTCATTTCAGTATACCATCACTGCGGAAACAACTCAAGAAAATGCAAGACAAACTGTACATAACGGATATTTAAATTTGAATAAATACCTTCAATCTGCTCTAATTGGTGGTCTGCACATCGTTTTTATTGAAAATAGAGCAAGCAAGAGAATACAGAAAGCCCATTCAACAACGAAAACATACGTTGACGTACATGTACTTCCGAGGCAGACACGCCACTTCTAATTTACACAGAAGTGACGACATTCACCATTTTTTTGTGTGTGTGCAGTGTCTCGACGTTCAGCACTCACGTGTGTTCGGTCCTGTGCAAAACGTGCAGAACTGCTTTGCCTTGCTCAGTGCGTGTTACCTACCCAAACTTACGATGGTTTCACGATTACGATGGTTACGATGGTGTCATCGATGGTTTCAAAATTACGATGGTTTCACTTTCACTGGTAAACATACCTAGATTCATAACTAAGTGCGGAAGCAACGCATTGCTGAAAAAAAAAACAATTTAAGAAGGAAAAAAACTGCGGCATTTGGGTAGGACATACTGTACAACAGCGCAAGTAACGAAGACAAGCTAAAGAATAACAGACACACAGAAGGTTTGTTTGCCTCATTATTACCCAGAGAAAGCCCCTTTCCCCACCCCCTTTATATATTGTACCGAGCAGCAGCGTCAAATTTCGTGCGACCTACTTGAGCCAGTGGGCCGCACTTACTTAGTTTAGTCCCGCAAGAGTCAGTGACAGGGAAGGAGGTTAAAACTGGTGTCAGGGGAGCGATAACGCTTTAAAAGGAAGGTTGGTAATGGGGCAACGTCATCATTAAAAACAATAATTTCTTATACATGATATTCAGGCAATTTCTGAAGAGACTTCGTGCCAAGACTGCCACATATCGACATGAACTGCCTATATGACCAAAATAAAGATGCCGATTCCTAAACGTGCTTTCAAATGCGATGCGTTTCTTAGCAAATAAAGGCACGTTAAGAGTTTACATCAATCAATCTATCAATCAAGCCGCCTACGTCTGCGTGCTTTTGTGATTATCTCCTAAACTTGTGTGAGATCAAAATTAGTATGGGAGGGTAACAGTATTTGGCGAATCTGTCCGGCTGGTCATGACATGAGTGTACTAAACGATGTGCGTGACTGAAAATCTCGTCACCTACGTCGTCAAACCTTTTCCACCAGACACGTGGGTCAAATACCTAGATACAATATGTCTTTAGTGACAATGTGATGGTCAGTTTAGATTTAATCATGAATGTCTAGAGAACGGACATCGAGTATTCTAATCTGAGAGAATTACGAAAAAACCGATATCGGCGGCGTTGACCCAGCGAATGCAAAAACAAAAGTCTTTGTTGCAGCAGAAATCGAACGTAATTGTTCTGCTGGAAGTCGGTTGTTCTACTACAGATTCGCGCCAGGTGAAGAAACGGCTTTAGAAAAAAAAATGCTATGCAGGTGCAAAGTCGGTGCAATGAAATATTTTGGTTCCAATGCTGGCTATCGTATTAAATAGCAGAACAATGAACATGGCATGTTTACTAGTGCCATGCAGACACTGAAGCCACGTTTACTTGTTACTGTGTTGGCTTCGCTTTTATTGCAGCCTTATAAACAATAATGTTCATTCTTACTATACAGCAAGCTTTATTTTAGTGTTGTTGGACCTGCAGAACTTCGCTAACAAAAGTTGCAGCACCATATGGTGTTCATCATTCAAATAACACAAGCGTCTCTATTCTGACTAGAGTGCTGAATTTACGTCTTATTATTAGCTACCCTCCAAACACCAATGTAGTTGACGTACCTGAATAGCCCACAATGTGCACAAGACTACTATGTTTAAAGAAACGTGGTGTTCAAACTCGCAAAGTTTGCATCACAGCTGAAGGACAAAAAAAAATTCAGCAGATTCCACGTGTACGTTGAGATTGGATGTTATGCGAAGCATGCGCAGGGAAAGTGGTAATGTCATATTTTTTTGTGAATGTAAACATCACAAAATGACGCGGAAGATATGTACAATTGCTGTACGCACATGAACTAGTCGTCATTCTCACTATTGCGCAAGAATGCCACCAGCAAGATTGATATTAGCAATACTAGAACCGGTAAGCTGATGCGTTGCGCTTGTGGCAGCGAAGATTGCGGCCCTGAACACTGATAGCTAAAAAATTGGCCCGAATCTACATGTCACACTGTAAATGTCGTTGAAAGACGATAGTCTTGCGTCTGGAGCGAGTGAACAAAACGTTTATTTGATGTTCTGCGCAAGAAAATTTGTGGATGGTATTCTGCAGGCGCTGCGTTAGAGTCCCTCGAGCGTGTGTCAGAGGCGAACGAGCGCATCTAGGCAGGTTAGATACAAGTGCCATCTGGCAGTTATCTTCGAAACGGAGGCGTGCAGCCTGCGGAGAAAGATGCGTGGCAGTCTCGGAGGTGATAAGGTGTAGACCTCAAAGCGACGGGCAGGTGCCACCACCGGGACGTCGTAGCAGAGCGTTGGAAACACCTTTTTGAACATCGCGTTGCACTGTCAGCGCAGCGCGATTAAACGCTACATTCCTTAAAGTTACATGTGTGTGCCTCATCTAGTATAAAGGCAGACATATAAAACATCGAAGCGTTGTTGTGGCGCCTCAGATATGCGCTATAATTGCTTTTTATATGACAATCGAAAAACTATGAACGCTAAACCTTGAGCATATTGGTTGGCGCTGCGGATGGGGTTGGCCGTTTGTTGCCGTTTGAAGTATCATTCGGGCGGACAAACAGACAAAGGTACAGACAGACAGACCAGCAGACAGACCAAATTTTTTCTGTCGAAGGTCCCCAAGAAAGACTATCGTCTTTAAAAGAGCTTCAGTGGATGGCCCTTTACTACAGCTGTCGTTAAAATGACCTCACGGTTGCACCACCCCGCCGCGGTGGTCTAGTGGCTAAGGTACTTGGCTGCTGTCCCTGCACGTCGTGTGATCGATCTCGGCTGCGGCGGCTGCATTTTCGATGGAGGAAAAAATGCTGTAGGCCCGTGTGCTCAGATTTAGGTGCACCTTAAAGAACCCCAAGTGGTCGAAATTTCCGGAGCCCTCCACTATGGCGTCTCTCATACTAGTGTGGAGGTTTTGGGATGGTAAACACCAGGTATCAAACATGAATTCTTACGGTGTACAAAAAAGTCACAGTTTCGCCAAAGGGGCAAATCAAAGAGGGCGATAGCAACATATTCGAATGATTTAGAAGCGAAGCTGGCATTTTAGGAGCAATATATTTGTAGTAAACATGCGTTTGCTAAGTAACCGAATTTCCTGCCGCACGGCCACAATATATGACCAGATCAAGGCTCGTACGTAGTGACGGCGTTGATACACGTAGTGAAGCTGGCAGTCAGCTCATTTAGATCCGTCTCGCTGCAAAACGCTGGTGTAAGAAAACATGGCCACTCCAGGCATACTGCCGGAATCGTTTTTTCGTGTTGAGAGTGCCGCCTGTAGAAGCCCCCACCAGCTGCGGGGGCACAAGGCGTGCGCTCATTGTTGCCGAGATAGGGCAGTAACCATAAGCGCCGCCACCCCAGCTTGTTCGCGCGCGCAGACGAACCTGGCTGGTCGCCGAAGCTAGCGCACTCGTCTTAGTTATATATATATAGAACCAATGGAATGTAAATAAGAAGAAAGAAGAAAGAAAAGTGGATGAAAAAATTACCAGCTGTGAGCAGGAATCGAACCCACGACCTTCGAATAACGCGTTCGATGCTCTAACCACTGAGCTATCACAGTGGCCGTCCCTCCATCCACTTTTTGGGGTTTATATGTGAATTAGAAGTAGGAGTGACAGTCAGCGCCATCTATAAGCCAAACAACGAGTGTGAAAACACTCTTATTCGCATGTTTGGCGTCACGTAGCACGTGAACTTATTATGAGCGGGCAGCTGATTAATTGTCCCTCTTATACAACCTAAACACACCAAGTCTGCCAGTACGAGACCCTCGTTCAATGAAATAAGGGAGAGAAGTGTATACCTAAGGGCTCGTATTTCCGTGTTTTAACACAACATTAATCACACTCGTTGTTTGGCTTATAGATGGCGCTGACTGTCACTCCTACTTCTAAATTCACATATAAACCCCAAAAAGTGGATGGAGGGACGGCCGCTGTGATAGCTCAGTGGTTAGAGCATCGAACGCGTTATTCGAAGGTCGTAGGTTCGATTCCTGCTCACAGCTGGTAATTTTTTCATCCACTTTTCTTTCTCCTTTCTTCTTATTTACATTCCATTAGTTCTAATAACTTCCCCTGTACATTACTTGGCATTACTGTCTGTTATGTCTCATTATTATTGTGTTAAAACGCGGAAATACGAGCCCTTAAGTATACACTTCTCTCCCTTATTTCATTGAACGAGGGTCTCGTACTGGCAGACTTGGTGTGTTTAGGTTGTATAAAAGGGACAATTAATCAGCTGCCCGCTCATAATAGGTTCACGTGCTACGTGACGCCAAACATGCGAATAAGAGTGTTTTCACACTCGTTGTTTGGCTTATAGATGGCGCTGACTGTCACTCCTACTTCTAAAATTCACATATAAACCCCAAAAAGTGGATGGAGGGACGGCCGCTGTGATAGCTCAGTGGTTAGAGCATCGAACGCGTTATTAGAAGGTCGTGGGTTCGATTCCTGCTCACAGCTTGTAATTTTTTCATCCACTTTTCTTTCTTCTTTCTTCTTATTTACATTCCATTGGTTCTAATAACTTCCCCTGTACATTCCTTGGAATTACTGTCTGTTATATCTCATTATTATTGTGTTAAAACACGGAAATTCGAGCCCTTAGGTATACACTTCTCTCCCTTATATATATATATATATATATATATATATATATATATATATATATATAAAGCGGGGGTGACAGCAAACACCGTCCCAAGCACTCTTTCTTTATAACTGCTATTGCAATAAACATAATACAGTATTCTTACCAAGTGTATAGCGTGAACCACGCTTCTCCGAACAATGATCAAGGATAGCATAGTGAATACCAGACTACTGGACAAAAATATGAATATTTGTGGGGTAGTGGGTACCAATCAAG